CCCCTCCCCTCCGCCCATTGGTTGGGAGGGCGGGGCCGGCGGCGCCGATTGGTCGGCGGGGCGGGGGCGGTGCCGATCGCCGGCGGTGGGAGCGGCCGGCGCTGATTGGTCGGTCGGGGACGCGCCGCCGGCGCTGATTGGCTGCGGCGGGGTGGGCGGGGCTTCGGATGCGGAAGTGGCGAGCGGGATCCGCTCCCAGTGCGGCCCGGATCACTCCCAGTGCTCCCAGTTCGCTCCCAGTTCGTCCCAGTCCCTCCCAGTTCGTCCCAGTCCCTCCCAGTTCGTCCCAGTTCCCGCTCAGTCCCTCCCAGTGCTCCCAGTCCCTCCCAGTTCGTCCCAGTTCCTCCCAGTTTGGCCCAGTTCCCGGCCAGTCTCGTTCCCTGTGCCGAAGTCTCGCGAGATTTCCGCGTCGGGCAGCGCAGGAGCCGCGGTGAGAACTGGGGGGGAACTGGGACAAACTGGGATGAACTGGGAGGGACTGGGAGAACTGGGAACGAGATTGGGGGTTACTGGTTTATACTGGGATGGACTGGGAGGGACTGGGGGGGACTGGGAGGGAACTGGGAGGGACTGGGACAAACTGGGAGGGACTGGGAATGGAATTGGGGGTTACTGGTTTATACTGGGATGGACTGGGAGGGACTGGGAGCACTGGGAGGGAATTGGGAGGGAACTGGGAGGGACTGGGAACGAGATTGGGGGTTACTGGTTTATACTGGGAGGGACTGGGAGCACTGGGAGGGAATTGGGAGGGACTGGGGGGGACTGGGAATGGGCTTGGGGGTTACTGGTTTGTACTGGGAGGGAACTGGGAGGGAACTGGGAGCACTGGGGGTTACTGGGAGGAAACTGGGAATGGGGTTGGGGGATACTGGTTTATACTGGGAGGGACTGGGAGCGATACTGGGAATGAGAATGGGGATACTGGTTTGTACTGGGAGCACTGGGAGGGGTTTGGGGGTTACTGGGAGGGACTGGGAGCACTGGGAGTGATACTGGGAATGGGGTTGGGGGATACTGGTTTATACTGGGAGGGACTGGAACAAACTGGGAGGGACTGGGAATGAGATTGCAGGATGCTGGTTTGTACTGGGAGCACTGGGAGGGACTGGGCCATACTGGTTTATACTGGTCCGTACCGGTTTATACTGGTCTGTACTGGTCTATACTGGTCCATAGTGGTTTATACTGGTCCATACTGGTCCATGCTGGTCCATACTGGTCCATACTGGTCCATACTGGTTTATACTGGTCCATACTGGTCCATACTGGTTTATACTGGTCCACACTGGTCCATACTGGTCCATACTGGTCCATACTAGTCTATACTGGTCCACACTGGTCCATACTGGTCCATACTGGTCCATACTGGTCCATACTGGTTTATACTGGTTTAGATGAACCTGGAGCGCGTCTCGAACGAGGAGAAGCTGCAGCTGTGCCGGAAATATTACCTGGGTGAGTGACCAATGAGTGACCAACTGACCAATGAGTGACCAATGAGTGACCACTGAGTGACCAATGAGTGACCAATGAGTGACCAATGAGTGACCAATGAGTGACCAATGAGTGACCACTGAGTGACCAATGAGTGACCAATGAGTGACCAATGAGTGACCGATGAGTGACCAACTGACCAATGAGTGACCCCTGAGTGACCCCTGAGTGACCAATGAGTGACCAATGAGTGACCAGTGAGTGACCAATGAGTGACCAATGAGTGACCAATGAGTGACCAATGAGTGACCCCTGAGTGACCCTGAGTGACCAATGAGTGACCAATGAGTGACCAGAGTGACCAATGAGTGACCAGAGTGACCAATGAGTGACCAGAGTGACCAATGAGTGACCAATGAGTGA